GCCCATGGACACAGACAGTGGGGTGGTGAGGGCCTGGGGAAGGGGCGGGTGGGCTGGAGGGGCCCATGGGGGGGAAGGGGACCTAGGTAATACTTTCAATAATAAAGATTTTTTAAAAAAGGAAGAAAGAAAATGCTCTCGTCAAGCCAGAGCGTGGTCTTAAAGTGAGAAAAAGGACTAGCAAGACAGGAGACGGGATGTGTGTGTGCGTGTGTGTGCGCACGCGTGTTCGTGTGTGTGCGTGTGTGTGCGTGTGTGCCTGGCTCTGCGTTCACCCACAATTAGGTTCCCAAGGGGCGATGACTGTCCCTGTGAACACCTCCCTCATCAAAGTGGCGACGTGGAAAGAGAACAGGAGAGAGGGCTCCGTGGGGGGAGGGGAGGCCGCGCTCAGGGGCTGGCATTCCCCCTCCAGGGCCAACAGCTGGGCCCGCACCTGATCCTGGAAGCCACGGGCGTGTGGAGGCCGCACTGGCTGCCCGCGGGCCTGGCCGGGAGGCAGAGACAGTGCCCAGCTCGAATCTGGGGCGCAGCTGGGATGCTCGGTGTCTGGAGGGGTGTTAGGGAGTTGGGGCCACAGAAAGGGAGGCCCAGGCCCCAGGGCCAGGGGCTGCCCCATCCGCCCGGGAGCTGCTGGGAGCCCGTGAGTTGGGAAGTAGCCGCACGTGTGCAGCAGCCTGTGGCTCCCTCCCAGGGAGAGGAGGGGAGAGGCAGACATCGCGGCCCCTCCGCCAGGCGTGTCCTCCTGGGCTCCTTGGCCCCCAAGAAGGGACACCGAGAAGAGGCCGTGGGCGTGGGTCTGAGGAGGAGCCGTGAGTGTTCTTGGGGACCTGGCGCTGGGGGGGCGGGGGCTGCAGGAAGATGGGCGCCGAGGGCCTGGCCTTACTCGGCGGCAGGCGTGGGCGGGCAGGACGGGCCCGGGCGCTAACTCCCAGGGCAGCTGGGACGTGACTGAGAGGGGGGCTCCCAGTGGTCTGGCCTCAGGACATTGGTTTCTTCGCTCCCTGGGGTGTGTGGGTGCCTCTGACCAGGGGGAGGCTGCCTGTGGCCACCGCACCCCGGCAGCTTGCAACCCCCGTGGAGACAGCCTCATGGCAAAGCGAGGGGGTCAGGAGGCCTCGCGGGGCTGCCCAGAGGCGCCCCGAGCCCTTGGGAAGCTGGGGACAATCAGGAATTGGGCCCCCACCAGCGTCTCCTGCCCTCCTTCCCGACGCTGCCCTCCCCATGTCCCCCCTGCCTTCTCCCCTCCAGGAGGCTCTGTCCTCGCCCTGCCCCCCAACCCTGCCCGCCATCTGGTGGCCCAGCCCCTCCTTGTGGCCCTGGAAGCAACAGCTGATTCTCAGCTCAGCACCCAGAGGGTCAGGCGGCTCTCGGCGTCCTTCTGCACCTGGCACCTGGGAGCCCTAAGTCCTGCCGCCCTGTGTGTAGCGTGAGGGGTACCCATGGCACTGCTTCCCCAGCCTTCCCTGGCGGTGGGCATCTCCTGGGGTGCTTGATAGGCACTCAGAGGCCCGCCCCCCTCCCAGAGCTGCTGGATCCTGATGGTTGGGGCGGGGGTGGGGGGGGGGGGTAGGGGGCTGGGGAACTCTCATTTTAAAGACCCCACACAGAGCCCCCCAGGACTTCCGTGCCCACAGCAGCCCTCTCCCTTCTGCGAACCGCCCGTCTGTGCAGTGAAGGTGAAGATTTAACTCGCGCTATCTGTAATTCCCGCGCGTTCCTTTCAAAGCAGTCACGCCAGATGTCGACTTGGAAGTTGAGAGGGAGGCAAACGTTCTTATAAATTAATGCTGCCAGCGATGAGCATCTGATATTTTTAACATATTCATCCCAGAGGGACAAATCCTCTGATTAACGGTGCAGCTGTGCCGATGCCGCCCTGGCCAGGGGTCGCTGAAGTGGGCGCAGCTGCGGCGAGGGTCTGACGGCGGGAAATGAGTGGGTCCCGAGTGGGTGCCCTGTGGACCTGCTGCCCTTCTCCCCTCTGCCTGCTCTTTCTTCTCGTCCCTTGGGCTCCCGCTCCGCTGGTCCCGGCTGGGGAGACCACTGATTAGTTTGATCAGAGCCTGGGCTCTGCCAGGAAGTGGAGGGGCTCATACCGGAGACCGCCACTGGGGGGCGCGCTGCAGACCTGTTGAAAGGATGCTCTTCTAGAGTAAAAGTCGGTGTGTTTCCCCAGGGCCACACTCCTGTCTCTCTTGGACAGTGGGCGGTCCTGGCATCCCTGGGCCGGGCTCCCACAGGGGCACTCACTGGTCGTGGTGGCAGCCAGTTGGTGGTTTGGACAAACCTGAACCCACCCCAGCACACCTGCCTCCATGGCCAGCTGGTGGCTGGGCTTCGCAGCTGCCCGGTGCGTGGTCGGCATGATGTCGTGCGCATGGTGCTTAACGATTCAGGACGTTCTGCCGACCGCGTGGGGCACTTGGTCTTATATTTGACCCTCGTGGGACCCGCTCGGTATCACTGTCTCTGCAGAAGAGGAAACTGAGGCACCGAGAGGTAGAGGGACTTGCTCAAGGCCACTCCACCAGGTGGCAGACCCGGGATCTAAGCTCAGGACAGTCACTCTGCACCTCCCGCCGGAGCCACACATCCAACCTGTCCCCGCCCGGCTGTGGGCTCCCAGGGGCGGAGAGGGCAGCTCCCATCTCTGGGTCCAGGGGGTGTCCATAGGCCAGTGATGGCGAACCTATGACACGCGTGTCAGAGGTGACACGTGAACTCATTTTTTTGGTTGATTTTTCTTCGTTAAATGGCATTTAAATATATAAAATAAATATCAAAAATATAAGTCTTTGTTTTACTGTGGTTGCAAATATCAAAAAATTTCTACATGTGACACGGCACCAGAGTTAAGTTAGGGTTTTTCAAAATGCTGACACGCCGAGCTCAAAAGGTTCGCCATCACTGCCATAGACGATGCTCAGGGTACGGAGCTGGCCTGGCTTTGCGACTGCTCATGCCGTGGAGACCCCGGGGCTGGGTACCCAGGAGGGGTTGTCCTGGGCCGTGGTTATGTTTCAGCCACTTTCGTGGCTCGGCCCCCAGGCACAAGGAACCTAGGAGCCGTCCCCACCGGGCGCCGGGTGACCAGCAGTGACCTCTTATCGCACTTTCCTAAAAGCGTTTGCAGGTCTTGGCCTCCCCGGCTCCCGCCCCCGGTGGTTACACAGTCTTAACGGGCCGTGCAGCCCGGGGCAGCGTGCCCGATAGCGCGCGCTTTGATGTGGTTCGAATGATCCCAATCTGTGAGCACGGGGCGGCCGTGTTCTTGGTTTTGAGGGTCACCTTGTTTCTTGGTTTTGAGGGTCACCTTGTTTCTTGGTTTTGAGGGTCACCTTGTTTCTTGGTTTTGAGGGTCACCTTGTTTCTGGTTTTGAGGGTCACCTTGTTTCTGGTTTTGAGGGTCACCTTGTTTCTGGTTTTGAGGGTCACCTTGTTTCTGGTTTTGAGGGTCACCTTGTTTCTTGGTTTTGAGGGTCACCTTGTTTCTTGGTTTTGAGGGTCACCTTGTTTCTTGGTTTTGAGGGTCACCTTGTTTCTTGGTTTTGAGGGTCACCTTGCAGGGGGAGCGGTGACTGAGCCTCACTCCCAGGGCTCGCTGTCCAGGCGCGTTTGCTGTGGGTCAGCCTGGGCCACTGGTGACATGAGGGAGCTCCCACCCGAGGGGGCTGACCCCAGAGGGTCCCGGGCCCAGGGGGCCCGCCCACCGCCCACGGGTACGGCTGTCCCAAGTGCTGTCCAGGGGCCGGAGGAGTGAGCTAGAAGCAGAGCGGCTCCAGACTTGGTGTTGTCAACTCGTGACCTGCCCACCGTGTGCCGGGCCCTGGGGAGGGGGGCAGTGTCAGGGCAGGGTCTTGTGACTGTCCAGACTCTTCTTCATTACGGGCAAGCCCTCTACCTCTGCGCCTCCACCGCCTCGTGTGCAGGACGTAACAAATAGGCCTCGAGCGGGGTGGGAGCGCCATTCATCCACTTACTGGCTTAGCCAGGCGTTTATTGAGCAGCTACTATGCGCCGTGCTGGGTGCCCGTGTGTGGGAGGGAACACCCCTCAGACGCAGGGCCTCTGGGACCGGGCAGCGTCCTCGGGGAAGAAACAGGAAACCAGCTGTCCCATGTGGCGTGTTTTTCTGGCTGCTTCCCTGGCTTTTGCAAAGGGAGGGTGTCCTGGAGACAGCTGGGCGCACACATGGCCACTTCCTGGGCCTGAGGGCAGCGGCGCCCTGGCCTCCGGGAAAGGATGTGGTGGGTGTTGCCATGCTGGGGACCAGGTCCATGTCCCCCTAACTCCTGTCCTAACCCACTCAGGTCCCGTGTTGACAGGCCCCTGAGCGCCTTCCCGAGGCCTTTACAAGCCAAGTTCTGGAAACATCCCGGGCTGTCCCTCTCCCAGCACCCCCATGCCCGCCCCCCATGTGCCCCCCTCTCTGGCTGCCCAGCCTGCCCTCTCTGCTCCGGGCCCACACTTCCCTCTTCCATTGCCTCTAGGCGTCCGTCCTGCTGGGAGGTGGTGGCGGCCGGCACTGTGGTCCCACACACCGTGGTCCCAGAGCCCTTGCCTCATCCTGGCTTGATCCTGATTGTCTGGTTGGCAGCCTGCCCTCTGCCCTGGGAGCTGAAGGCTTTGTTTTCCTTCTCCCCCGGATTCCCAGGCTGCAGCCCGAGAGCCTTCTTCCCCTCGCAGCCCCTGCACCTGAGCTCCCGGCAGCTGGGCCCCCGTGTGGGCTCAGACACCGAGTCTCGCCTCCCCGGCCCCCTCCTTCCCTCTGTGTGTGGCACACGCCTGCCTCCCCGGGCTACCTCCGTGTCCTCCCAGCTGCTCATGGGATCCAGCACCTACCCCTCCTCTTCCCAGCACCTCCTCACAGGGGACCACGGGCCACACCCTGGGGGTGCAGGGATCTTGGTGTGTCATCCCTTTAGATCAGGTGAAGGTCAGACACTGCCTCAGATGCCACTCAGGGCTGAGTGAGTGTCCCCTGGGCTGGGAGATCCCTGGACAGGCCCGGGGAGGGGGAGGCGGCGAGGGCAGGCGAGGGGGCTTGGAAACGGGCCTCTCCACCGCCCGTCATGTGGAGCACGAGCCAGGTCTCTGCAGGTGGCACCTGTGTTAGCTGAAGAGTCTGTTTGGAGGGGACGTCGGAGCGGAGGCCTTGAAGTCCCAGTGGGTGCTGGGAGCCCGGGGCTATCGGAGTGTGTTTGCGGAGTGGCCGGGGGTCAGGGGCTATCGCTGCGGCCTGGGCGCGCAGCCAGAGGGCGCCTCGCAGCCGCTATAAAGCCTGGGCCCTGGGCACCGGCAGCAGCGACCAGCCCGACGCCCAGAATGAGGAGCCTCGTGGTGCTACTGGCAGCCCTCGCGCTGTGCCAAGGCATTGGGATCACCAGGTGGGTGCCAGCGCCTCCCGGGGCCGCTCTGGGTGGCTCTCTCCCTGGTCTGCCAGCCGTCGGTCCCGGGGCGGGGGGGTCTTTGGAGGAAATGGGCAGGTTCCCAGGAGGGTCCCCCCGGCAGCCTCACTATTGCATGTTGGGACTGTTTCCTCTGAGGGCGCCGCTCCAGGGTGTGGGCGGTCAGGGACGCTAGGGCAGGGCTTCTTCACCAGACCGCCGCTTCGGTGCCGGCTTCAGCGTGGACTTAACTCTGTGCCCAGTGTCCTCGCCTGTGTCCAAGCAAGAGACGGGGTCTCCGTCTCCTGGGGTCAGGGAGGAGCAGAGGGCTCAGTATTGCAAAAGGCTTTGGCCAGAGCCTGGCACTCAGTAAGAGCTATGCACGCATTTGCTAAACAAAACCACATTCTCTGATGTCACAGGCCCCGTGGGGGTGAAGTTCCCGGTTCCCCTTCCAAAATCATAAACGGCGTTTATTGCGCTGCCTGCTGCGAGGTTTCCCGTAGACTCGCACGGACCCCCACGGGTCGATGTTCGTGTTTGCATCTGACCGATGGAGAAAATGTTCAGGGAGGGTCTCCGAGCTGCCCGAGGCCCCGTGGGTAGAAGGGGAGGAGCCAGGACGTGGTCCTAGGTGGACGTGAGCTGTTGACATCACACTGTCTGCGGTTCCCAGGTTCCAGGTCCCTTTGAGGGAGGCTCAGGGGGCCCTGTGCTGGGACGGGGCAGCTGGGCAGAGGCACGGCAGCTGCTGGGGGGAGCCGGAGCCGATCAGGAGCCAGAGCCGAGCGAGCAGGAAGCTTTGGGGTCCTGGACTCGGGGCAGCGGTGGGCTTGGTCCCAGGAGCTCTGTCTGCACTCCTTCCTTTAGGCTTAAGTCCTCTTCTCTCCTGAGAGACAAAGGCTGGGGACATCTCGAGAGCCTTTCATTGGTCAGCAGGTCCCGGCTGAAGTCACCCCTGAGGGCGGGTGGGAGGCACCAGAGGAGACACTAATTCACAGGCGAGGCTGTCCCACTCGGCATCCGTGGGACGGGAACGACACTCAGAAACCACTTTCTTTCCGGGTCTTAAAGCTGCTGCATTTTATTCTTCTCAAAGGCAGTCGCACCGCAGTCTCCAGTGGTTCTCCGTCAGCCCCAAGGGAGGACCACGGGCTCTTGGAGCCGGGAGGGGCTGGGAACTCGCCGAGGGGTTGAGCCCCGGCTGGTCCGAGGCAGGGCAGGGAGCGGGCTGGGCAGGAAGGACTCCGCCCGTTTGCAGAGGAGGAGCCCGAGCGCCAGGGCTTCGGGGAGCCACCAGGGTGCCACGGAGCCCGCTCCTGCGGGTTGCCCTCTTGGTTCTCTTCCTGCGGGAACTGACAGCCATCCCCCGGCTCCTGCGGCCTGTCAGGCGCTACCCTGGGGAACACGCTCTGGGCTGGAGCCTCTGAGGAACCTCCACCAGCTAAGGCTCCTCGTGGAGCCGAGCGCAGGGCGGGTTTGTCCTGGCGT